ATCTATCTATCTATCTATCTATCTATCTATCTATCTATCTATCTATCTATCTATCTATCTATCTATCTATCTATCTATATATATTGCATAGATGAAATGCTATTCCAGTAAATGAGAAACATTGGTAATATTATGTGTATCATGCTATGTAGAGGCATTGCTGTTTTGCTACATCATTTAGTTTATTCAACAAAAAAGGAAAGTCACCATGGCCCACTGAATGATGGCTGCAGGAAAAGGCAGGGAAAGAGGTAGGAAGAGAAATGACATGAAAAGGGAGTCAAACTGGAATGATCTAAAGACTTGCCTGGACCCTTCTCATAGGAGAAGAAATGTCAATCAGTGTGAACAGAAGGATTGCTCAAGTGAGAGATAAAATAGATCACACTATAGATACGAATCTATTAAGCAAAAACCAGATAGCTTCAACTTCCCCTGTCTGGACATGCTCTTAGAAACACTGATTAGTATACCACCTTGTAGTACCAAATGGACAGACTATTCCATTTTGAACCCTAACAAAGGTTGAATAAGAGAAGCCTAGAGGGCATTACTTCTTGCCTGGTAATTGTTAGAGTCACTTGGAAACTCACAGGGAGCTAAACCTATCAAGGCTTCAGATACCAATTAGTAATGTTCAGTGGAGAAATTTGCTTAGATTTGAAAGTTGCTGAGCATACATAGTTCCTATGCCGAAAAAAGGGTGCCTAAGTACAAAATGAAGTCACAGAAACAGAATCTGGAATGGAAAGCAATAAAGCCGCACATCTCCATGGTCCCTAAATAACCCAAGAAAACATGGAAAAGCAAGAAAGTGAGGCCAACTATTTGCATGCACCAGGTAGTTGGTACCATTTGTCCCTAGCACCTCACAGCTTTTAGTTGAGGTACAGGAAGGCTGAACTGCCAGTCTTAGAGTCAAACATTCATAACAGCAACAGTGCCAACCTCAAATGTTATTTGAGGGGTGTAAGTACAATTACTAATACAAGTACAACAATTCATCCAGTTCAATCCTGATTAAGTTATTTAAATTTGACCCCTAAACAGTAGCATGCATAAGTAAGATACTACTAATACTTGATGATAAGAAAGGCACGGGGGAGGGAAATGACAAAAATACTGCAGTGATTAACATTGCAAAAAACTAGAATTCCAAATGTATACATTAAAAATGTCAAGAAAAATACCTGGGGAGATGAAGGGCAAAATGCCACATTGATTACAGATTCAGTGTGTCCTGTCAATTTATGGGAATAGGTGCTTGAACACATCTCATATATATAAGCCTGAAAAACAAGACGAAATCAAAGTTGTAAAAGGCTACAATGGAAGAAAACCTTTTTGAGGGAAAGGCAACCCACATTCTGAGATACTTCAGCTAAAACTGTGTACAAAAGCAAAAACAAAAAATTCTAAAACTCTTTGCTATTTACATCGTACAACCAAATCAAGGGCAAATAAAGAGCAGGATCTGTGCTTTAGCTATTGATATTTATTAGATCATGCCAACCATGATGCAAAGTAGGTGGTGATTTTCCTGGCTTTCATTGTTGTTCTGATTTTGTTCTGATTTTGTTATGATTTCCTCTCAAACTGATGGCAATGGAAGAGAAAATTAACTATGCCAGGGACCAGCTCTAAGGCAGATACAACAGCTTCAAATGACTATCAGTGGATTGAAAAGACCTAAGAGTTCCATGTCCTAGATTTCCACAGCCATATTTGAAATCACTGCCAACAATGGATTTTTGTATCACCACAAAATGGAGACCTCCAGCGTTAGACATATTCTTTCATTTAGAGGCAAAGATTTGTTCGAGGAGAATGAGGTCCACAATATTTTATGACTTATGGATCAACCTTCTAAAGATCATATGATTATTCTCCTAGTAAACTGAATGAACCCACAGTTAATTTGTCAGAGTGAAACAAATTTACAAAGTCTTTTTCATCACAATTTGGTTAAAATATTGTTATAATATAAAACTATAATAGAAAAGTGCATGAATTATAGTGTTTGTAATATTATAACCAAACTCCATATGCATTCCAATGCTTTTTCATGTGACTTTAAATCATTAGTATTTAAATATTTTATAATTAATAATAACACATCTATGAAATTTCTTTTGATTAAATTTACGAGCAAGCCATGATTTTCTCATAAATTTAACAAAATTATGCTTACCAGTCAATCAATCGTACATTGCAGCATAGTGTGATAACCTACAAATGGCCTTTGGAAACACACCAAGGAACTTATGGCAAATCTGCAAAGTTACTGAAATCCAGTAATAAGTTGCAACCAGAGTAGGCTCACTGAATCTGTAGAATTTATGGAAAAGTTGACTCGCCAAATCTGCATCAATGGCCTACTCTAATTGTGACTCATTACTGAGTTTCAGCCATTATATCTCTGGTTTTTTTCCTCTGAAAAAAATGGCTTAAAAATACATAACTTAAAATATTTGACAGAATAGCCTAAATATTTTTCTAAGAACAGAATCTGAAAGCAAACAGAGCCATCCTTATGGGTTGATATGACTACTAACCTTCATTTAAGATTAGACTTGAGAAGAAACTGATTCTTGTTAATCTGTGATGAACATGGAATTTGGTTTAATGTCACCATACACTTAGAGACATCATGCTGCATACACAACACTGCTAATCCCTTGAGCATGATGAAGAGAACAGGAATGGACCATAGAATCACTTGACAGCAAGAGACCTGTATCTTCAGACACTGCTTACTACAAAAGTCTTTAAAGCAGGTGTCTCTATGTGATTATGAGTAAAAAAAATCACATGGTAGGAAAAAATAGCAGGAGAAGACACTGCCAGTATAAAGCTTTTCTTCCAAAGATGTAGCAGGAGTGCACCGCCATCTCCTGATTCTCAACATTACTGTGAAATACATGGACTCTGTGCTGAGATGGTCTGTTGCCATAACTATTCTTTTGATTTATCTTGATCAATAGCTATGCTCCCCACTCTGACCTTGAAAAGCAAGATATTAATAGCCTGATTACCACAGATAACCTCTTCATCTTGTCTCAGTGTTAAATCAGAGGTAATCCAGTTGGATTAGTTGGAGGGCATATGGTAGTATAACTTCAGTAAAGATGCATAGGTCAGAGTCTGTGCATGAACTATTCTTCAAAAGTTTAAAAATGGCCCTTATGCAAATTTATTGAAGATACTTCATGAAAATAATATGGAGCTCAGCAACAAAACAGAAGCACAATCTGAGTTGGACAACAACCTTATACATAGCCTATTCTATTTCATATTGTACCCATCCATTACACATCTTTGTTGTCCTTCAAATCAGAACACATGGAACTATGCAAATGACTGTTTTATTTAGCAAAAAAGGAAAAAAAAACGAAGAAGAGAGTTTAAGGGTAACATTTTAAGAATGCTTTCTCAGCTCTGGGAAACCACAAATATTTGCATTATTATTTAATATAAGGCCAAGTCTACAGTCAACGAATCTTACTATGTTGACTTTGAGGATCAGCTGCGTCAGCACATGGTATTCACTCTTCTAATTGCTACCCAATTTGCCAGTCATTCAGACAGCCAGAAAGAGTGAATGTTCAATAAAAATATATTCAGAAATAATCCTTTAAACATTAAACAACTTTCCAGTCTCATAAAAGATTCTGCAAAGGGACCACAAAGAAATGTAACTAACGAACTAAATACACTGTTAAGCAGAAGTTAACTTGGTGAGCACAGAGACCACAGCTATTTGGTTCTTAAAGTGAACACAGCAAATTGTTGATCAGATATACTTATTTCTCTCTAGGGATTGTAAGAATCACTGATTCTGAAGACTGCAGGGAGAGGCAGACTATACAGAGCAGAGACTGGCTGGCATCAGTGTCATCACTACTAGAAAAAATACAGAATTAACTCCTGTTTTTAACTTTATGTCTACACAATCATTAATGATGGGAATACACATGAATCCACATTAACTGCAAAGCTTCAGAGTAAAAAATAAGTGGACAAGGGAGAGAAGTCAAGAATGATACAACATGTAAAGACTCTTAAAACACAAGATTCCTTACATGGTTTTTCATTTAAATTAGGAATAACAAGAAACATGAATATATTTTTCTGAATGAATTGTTTCGAATGAAACAGCCTGGACACCAACCATGCATATATTCATTTTATAAGAACATAACTTATGGTCTTGTGCCTCCTGGATTTCAGAAAACATCCTTAAACAATGTGCCATCAACTACCTGGAACAAACCGTAGCAGAAGAAACTGGGACTAGAGCCGGGGCCTTTCTGTTCTGCTTTCCCACTACCTGCCTTCTGCAGTTTTTCTGCTCATTTCTCAGTCTGTCCATCTGCCTTTACAGTCTGCAAAGTCTATCGTATAATTTCCATTCAGTCCTACTACAACAGGATATGTATTTTATATGAATTCTTGCTACCTATATCTCAGTACTGAAAACACCACAGTGTTTAGAAAATAGACAAGTCAGGTTTTGGGGAAAGAAACATTGTAATCCAACCCTGGCTGGCATGTTGCAATGATAAAGCAAACCTAATTTGTAGTTAGAGATTAGATGCTAATAACTAGGGGGAGGATCTCTATGACATGCCATAATTTTTCTGCAGCCTGTGCTTGAGTTTATGAGTGGGTTTGAACATGTTTATGAGTAATCTGGTGAGAAAAGCTAGTTTTCTCATAAATATGTTTGAACTTGCTTATGGGTTCAAATGTAGGTTGCAAAGAAAATGTGAACAGTCATAGAAATCCTCCCTGCTACATAACTGGCAGGCAGCAAAATATAAGAAAGGAAATTTTGACCAAATATGATAGTAGCAATGTGATTCTTTTAACAGGCACTATATTTCCAAATATGCAAAGAGACTCCATGTTGCTATTATATTGTGCTATCTTTCAAGAAATCAAGCAGAAAATCACCCCAGTAAGATATAGAAAATCAGGTTTCATAGTGTTATATTTATTTTACTTCGCATCCAACAGCTGCAGCTGATTGAAGAAATTGGTCAGGGGAAACCTTATATAAGCCACAGGCTACCAAGACAATGTGTAGTCTAAATATGGGCATGGTGGCAGCTTGAGGTGTTGATTTTTTGTCCCATGCCACTGGAATAATATATTTACTAGGTTTCTACCTTTTTGCCACAAATGTACAGACACAGTATTTTCTGTACTCACAATAATACAATTTAACAACAACAAAATGCTATTACATACACATTTATCTTCAGATCCACAGGCAATGAATCGTCCACAGGGAGACAGAGAAATTCCACAAGGGTGACAGTGACAGCTATGGCCTTCAAAGCGACGCTCACACCTTCAATTAAAAAAAATAGATATAATTGGTTTTTTTTTCAAAATAACATAGAGCTTCCAGGTTGAATTATTGTTTTTGATGCGTCTTTGCACCCATCTCTTTCCACAAAGACAATCCAAATACCAGAGAAAATATATAAGAGAATGTGCATAAATAGATTGCCAGGTTTTGACAACACAGTCAATTCAGGGAATGTTGTAACACTGTAATATAATATATATATTTTAATTGTGTAACAGATGGTCACCACCAAAGACTGCATTCCTAGAATATTGGTGGCCACAAAAATAATAGTGAATATATGCTGAACCTATGGATAAATTCAGCTGGCTGGGTAGCTCAGTGGCTTGAATATCTGGCTACAGAAGCAAAAGTTGAGAGTTAATTCCCCACTGTGTGGCCTTCGGCAAATTACACACCTCCATAGTGCTCCCAAAACAGGGGAATGGCAAACCACTTCTGAGTACCCCTCTACCTAGAAAAGCTTGGAAAGAGTTGCCGGAAGTCAGAATTGACTTGACAGCAGATGATTATTATTTGATGATAGAGCCATGTGGCTGCCTCATAAAAAGTGACTGAACAAAGCATACCAATTCCACATTCAAAGTCTGGAATAGAATTACCCACTGATTGACAGCATACACTAATGCATAAGAACCTTCCATTACAAACCCATTAGAGTTACCTTCAAGGATAAAATTCAACACTTATTCCTTTAAAATTGCAGTAGTAATGATATATACATTTCCAGATTTCCCTTTTTCCAAAAGAACCTAAGATAGTTTACAAATGTTCAGTGGAGCAAAAAGGACTCTTTGCATGCATGTAATTTGAGGCCAAGAAAACCACAAATTTCTATGTCATTTTTCCATTTCCAGCTTAAATATGAGTATTTTCCCTTATTCTAATTTGCTTTCTTTTGTTGAAGGTTCCCTCAGTATATTTTCCAATCTAGTATTCAGTTTCTTATTCACAGAGACTAGTGTTAAGTCCTGTTAAACGGTGCCAGCAACAAAATTAATTAAACATATATACTGGATATTTGCTTCAACATGTCTTCAACAAAGTTTCGTATGCTATTCTCATCAAGCAAATTAGAGAAATATGAATTAGAAGGCACTAGCATAAGATGGGTAAACACTCAACTGGAAAAGTACCATTAGTAACAAGCAATTAGTGGACTGTATTCAATCTGGAAGGGGCCAGTAAGTGTTTTTCCATTTGTCATGGCCCTCAGTCCAATGTTGTACAACATAGCTAATAGATGGTTTCGATCATTCTTATTATTAAAAGGGAAGGACATTCCATAACTAAATCAGAAAGTCCCTATCATCCATCCACTGTGATGTCTCATAATGGAGGAACTCTGAACAGGGCTTTGTTCAATTACATGATCAAGAACTGGGAACTTATAGAGGTATGCACTCAAAACCTTTAGATCTTTAAAAAGTCAAAGTTGGCAGCTTAAAATTTGCCTGGAATGAAACTGGAAAACCAGTGCAGTTTTTGCAATACAGTATGTGGGTAATATTTTTCTAATACCTAAAACTGGCCCATAATTTTCCCACTGTATTTTGGATAACTGAAGCCTTGACACTATTTTTAAGGCCTCCATATATTAGAGTAAAGCTGTCCTCCTTGGAGAATGCACCAGAATTAATTCCTAAAATTTTGGTAAAGGCAAAGTGATTAGCACTATCAAGTTCTCAGAGTTACCTACATTGTGTGGAGATTGTGATCTTTGATTTATGTACTGTAATTCGTTCCTGAAGATATTATATTGGATTATTATTTTTGGATCTATTTCCATTTGTAAGGCTTGTGGAACATATTTCTTGAATTGTTCAAATACTATCTCCTTTTTGTAATCTGTGGATTTTTCCTCAATGCTGCATTATAATGTTTTATGTTTCACATTATTATTATT